TGTTCCCTTATTTTTCCTTCCCCTTCTGTTTTCTTCCTCCCCTCTTTCTGCTCCCTTCCTTCCCTTCTTCTCCACATCCTTTTCTCCCCCTCTTTCTTCCAACACTCTTCACTCATTAAAAGATCCCCCAAAAAACATCAGAACTGTCTTTAACCCATGCAAGGCAGAAAAAAAGGAAATGAGAGACCCCTTCAAATAAAAGATATTCTCAGTCTTTGTGATCTTTCACATCTAGCCCCTGACAAATCAGCTCTTAGGGAGAAAGGCCATATGTTTTAAGAGTTCTAACCTCAATCTGGAAATTCCCTTTATAGAGGAGCACAGATTTAGTCCTGCTACTGGACACCTACTGGCTGTGTGACCCAGGGGCGAGGCAGTTAACCTCTCAGTGCTCTAGGCAACTCTAGGAATGTAAAGAGAAGATAACAACCTTCTTTACTAAAGGCAGTTTCTCACCCGTGTGTTGCCTATGCCAATGGTATCACAAATCCAGTCCCTGTCCCCTATAGATTTAGAGCTGGACGAGGCCTTAAAGGCTTATCTGTCCAACCACCTCAATTATGGATGAGGATACTAAGGCACAAAGAAGTGCTGTGATGACAGAGGTCACATAGGTAGAAAGCAGCAGAGGATAACCTTAATGCCCTGATCCTGAATACAGTATCTGCTACTCTATTTACTTTCTTTTCCTCCTCCCCCTTCATTTCCTGTCCTCAGTTCAAATTCAACAAATTCTTATTAAAAGCCTAACATGTAAAACCCTTCCTTAATGCCCTACTTTTGATTCCTGGTATGGAGCTGACCTTGGTTTCTCAGAGGCAGTGTCAGTGGAGCATAAGCCCTGTGCAGTTTCTGCCAAACTGCAAAGGCTTCGGAACAGGCCTGATAATGGACTTTTGTCCTAGGAAGACCAAGATAGCTAAGTCTAGTGCTATTTTGGTGAGACAATAAATGGAAGCATATGAGCTATGCCAAAGTATAATTGACTGGATTCAGAACTGGTTGAATGGGCCTGCCCAGAGAGTAGTTATTACTTTCCGGGTGATAGCTTGGAAGGTCTCCAGTGGAGTGCCCCAAAAATCTAGGCTCAGAACTATGCTATTTAACATTTTTTATCAGTGACTTGGCTAAGATATAAATCACATGCTTAAAGCTGGAAGTGATAGCTAACACATTCAATGACAGAATCAGGATCCAAAAAGATCTTGACCACATGAGAATGTTGGGCTTAGTATCAAATGTAATAAAGATAAACTTAGACTTGGATTAAAAAAAAATCAAGGGGCAGTTAAGTGGTTCAGTGGATAGGGCTCTGGCCTTGGAGTCAGGAGGACCTGAGTTCAAATCCAGCCTCAGACACTTGATACTTACTAGCTGTGTGACCCTGGGCAAGTCACTTAACGCCTATTGCCTCACATACCAAAAAAAGCAATTTTTCAAGTACCATGGACAACAATTTTGAAAAAGGTGGGGGAGAAACATATTTAGTTCAATGTGGGTCAACAACGTGATATGACATCCTAGAAATTTAATGCAGTCTTTGGCTAAACAGAGAGGCATCATATCAAAGTCTAGGGAGGTGACAATCCTAGTATATTCTCCCCTGATCAAACTACTTCTGGAGTAGTGTGTTCAGTTCTAGGTACCATCTTTTTGGAAGAACATTGGCAAATTGGAGATTATCTGGAGGAAGTTGATCAGGATAGTGAAGGGCCTTCAGATTATGCTGTGTGAGCACTGGCGAACCTGGGAATGTTTAGTGTGGAAAAGAGAAGACTCAGGGAGATATGATAGCTGTCTTCAAGTATTTGAAACATTGCTACATAGAAGAGAGATAAGACTACCTCTTCTTGGCCCAGAGGGCTGAAATAATAGCAATGGGTGGAAGATGAGACAGATTTAGGCTTGATACAAGGAAACCTTCCCAACTATTACAGCTGTCCAAAATTGATGAAGATAAGAAAATATTAAAATAGTGCGGCTGGGTCTGTGAAAAGACAAGCATACCTATACACTTTTGGTGGAACAGTCTAATTATTCTGGAAAGAAGTTTGGAATTATGCTAATGTCCATACCCTTTGAACCAGAAATTTCCACTGCTACGCCTATACTCCAAAGAGCTCAAAGGCCAAAGATAGCAGCACTTTTTGCTGTAGCAAAGAATTGTAAACAAAGTAAATGCCCAACAATTGGGCAATGGTTAAACAAA